AAGCAAATAAACAACATATGCATTTTGAGCCATCATCATATATTTGAATAATACCTCTTGCCAGCCAAATTTTCCTCAAACGTGAATGGTAGACAAATAAATAAAGAATAGAAAGCCAAAAAAAAAAGCTTATACATTTTAGCCTATAAATCATGGACATACTGTTACGCCCCGAGCCCACACGTGCTCGTCACATGGCATCCGCCGTATTCTCAAATCCCGCTCAAGAATACAAGGCATCATTTAACTAGTCTAACTTTCAAAAGTACGAAATAATATCACTAAATAAAGTGCGGTACAAGTCTCATAAAAAGATAGTCTACGAATATCCAATATGTTCGTACATTTATTTCCTAATGGAAACAGCGGAATCGAAAATAAATAAGACTAACAATTAGAAGTAGCTAGCCTGCCACTTCCATTCACTTAAAACTAATAAAAGTCATCCTCAGGGTCTTCTACGTAAACCAACTCATACTCTTCAGAATCTGCAAGGATGGTAAAAAGTGTGTTGAGTGACAAATTGCCCAGTAGGTAATAACTACCCCTCTGTCGGACCATGTACTCGTAGCTTTACAGATACATATATATATATATATATATATATATATAGATACAAATCAAATCATTTGCACATCGATCACATCCATAATTTGAAAGTAACGTCATTTATAAAACAATCAGTAGTAACAACTGGCAAGCAATTTAAAAGCACCTTATTGATAAATGAACATGGAAAATCATACCGTTGTAAATCATTTCGTCTCAATTCACAAGTCTCTTCACATCCACTCATAAATCAATTCATAAATCAGTTCATAAGTCTCATTTCATATCAGTTTATAAATCATTCTATATCACCTCATAAATTATTTCATCTTAGCTCATAACAAGTACATGTGATGACCGGCTACTGAGTACTTAGTCTAGAGATTAAACCCCTTCGAGGTGGGCGACCAATAGGTTTCATGACTACCGATTGGCCTCTTTTCATACATGGGTCAATCGACCGGACTTTATACCAGACTACCATGACTGTGCCAATCGGCTGGACTTTATACTAGTCTACCATTGATTTGTCAATCGGCCGGATTTTATAACAGGCTACCATGACGATTAGACAGGACTATAGCCCCTACCGTCTATTCCATGACTATTTTGAGCTTTACTTGTCAAAAATTCATTCCACACGTCACATACATAAATCTTTGATTTCATAAAAGATTCAATTCATTTGATATATAATAACATATCAAAACATTTCAAATAAGTCACATGGTCCATTTTTGTATAGTAAAAATATTACTTTCATAAATATCCGAGTAAAGCATTTAATCAAATATATTTCGAGTCAACACAACAAAAAAAGATTGAAAACAAAAATTTCCTTTTTTTTTTGCACTTTTGAAATCTCAAAAGGGTAAGTACCACCTACCTTTGTTTGGCTGCTCGAGTGGAACTAGCTTAGATCCTTGTATTGTACCTATCAAATGCATAGGTTCCCTAATTAGTTGTTATTTTCTATAGATGCATAAATATACAACCTCTAAATAAGTAAAAGATTCATATCTAGACCATTATACGGACCCTAATAGCATTTCCCTTAAATTGGATGATTTCTATCTTTGGAAAGTTTCTATTTTTAAAACGTTTCTTAACTTGGAACGTGTTCATTTTGTAAAGTTTCCTAATTTAAAGGAAATAATTATTTGTAATCATGTTTATTATCCTAACTACTATCTCACTATGTTTATTTATAATTTATGATTATTCATTATTATTATTATCATCCTCGTTGTCGTTAATTTATTTTATTACCACTTATATATATTAGATAGTTGCTATTATCTTTCCCTTTATTTCCACTTTTATGCGTGTATAGGTGTTATTATTATTTATGTATATATGTACATATGTATGTATATCTATATGTATATTGACTTATTATAATTATTATTGTCTTAGTTTATTCCCCTCGTATTATATTTTTATCTTCGCTTATATCCCCCAATTTATTTTCTCCATGTCCATGTTGTTATTATCCTTACTATTATCATTTATTAATTATTATGTACTATTATTGTTATGATTATTATTATTATTGTTATTAGTGTTATCGTCAGTATTATCATTTACTCTTATTATTACTACTATTATTATTATTATTTAAACGTTTCTTTTAACAATTTAAAATTTATCTCACCTCGTCTACATTAACCTCATAAGACTAAAGCAAAGTATTTTAGATTTTTCTTTAAATATCTTAGGCATAATAGATTAAGTACAAGTTTTACATGACCAATACTTCAATTCTAATAATTACTTTAAATTGGGTCTTGAATTTTAATATTCACGATATACTATAAAAATGGACTAGTTGTATTTAAAAATTTATTCCCCAGACATTTATTAAATTTATATTACATTTTTGGTCCATATCTAAACTATTTTTTCCCCTTTTTTCTGTCTTTTCTTCCTCAGGGGGGGGCCCATGGTTGGCCAAATGGCAACCATGGTTGACCATCTCTCTGGCGACCCAATCCTCCAATTCGTTGGCCAAAAAGGCCAACCAAACATTTGTTTATTGTCGCCAGCAAGTGCTGGCGACATCACCTCCGCGGAAAATTTTTTTTTTTCCTTCTTCTGGTTTCGGCGAACCTTTGAAATTCTTTTCCTTTGCTATCAGTGGTGGCGGCCCCCACTCGTCTCTCTTCTTTTTTTTTTCTTTTCGTTGTGGTGCTTCCGCAATGCTTGACAGAAGAAAGCAGCGGTCCCTTCCCCATTTTTTTTAACAGATCAATCACCCTATAATCCCAAGATTAAATCTAACACCCTATTTCTATTAACCCAGATACGAATCTTATCAAAACATATACATCTACACCTATATAGCAACAACACATGTCTATAAAATTCTTAGAACAATTAATACAACTACTTAAACTTAAAAGAGGAGTTTTCTTGCGTGAATTTGAGACTTACGGGTTTAGGTGCCTAGTCACCGGATCGATTGACGGTGTCGCCTGCTTCTCCTTCTCTCCTCTCTGACGACTCTTGCTCTATGGAGGCAGACGAAAGAAAGGTAAGGTTAGGGTTATTTTTCTTTCTAGGGTTTCAATAAAATCCTAAACCTAGCACTAGCCACTAGTAGGTAGTTTGGATAAGAGTTTTAGTTTATTAGGAACCCTTATCCCATCCTATAGTTATTTTATTTTATTTTTCCTAGTAATTTTATCCTTTTTAATTAATTGGGAAAATAAATAATAAAAACATATGCTAAAAATTGTGGGTTTCACATTCTACCCCCCTTACAAAAAGTTTCGTCCTCAAAACTTATGTATCTTGATCAAAAAGATAGGGATATCTGTTCCGCATGTCTTTTTCTAACTCCCACGTTGCCTTTTGCGGTGTATGGTTCGTCCATTGCACCTTCATGTAAGGTATGGTTCTTCTGCTTAGAATTTGATGCTTTCGATCCACGATTCTCAATGGAACTCCCTCCACTGACAAGTTCTCCGTTACCTCAATGGGTTGTTCCTCTAAAATATGGCTTGGGTCAGGTACACACTTTCTCAATTGAAAAACATGAAAAATATTATGTATCCTTACCAAAGCCGGCGGGAGAACCAATTGATATGCTAGAGATCCAACTCTATCTAGTATTTCGTAAGGCCCTACATACCTCAAACTTTACCTGTCACTTCTTCCAATTCTCATCACTCCCTTGGTAGGGGATACTTTCAAATATACCCTTTTCTCCCGGTTGAAACTCTAATAGTCTCCTTTTTAAGTCCATCCAACTCTTGTTTCGGTTCTGAGCTACTTTTAATCTTCCTCGAATAATCTTAATTTTCTCCAAAGTTCTTTCCACCAAATCGGGGCCAGTGATCAGCTTCTCACATACTTCACCCCAATATAAGAGAGATCTACACTTTCGCCCATACAACGCTTCAAATAGTGTCATATCTATCCCGCTATGATAGTTATTATTGTACAAAAACTCCATTAATTTCACCAACTTATTCCAACTATCCAAGAAGTCTAGATCACAAGCTCTTAGCATGTCCTCCTGTGAGGACCCAAAAATTTTCTTATTTATCGGATATTACCAGTTTACTTAAACATTTATTTACTCATTTTCTCCGAATTATTCATTTCGACCATTTAAAAATCCATTTATATGGAACAACGCCTCTTTTATATTTTAAAAACATTTTGTTGGAAAATTCACTTTTCAAAAATTCGTTTAGTTTGAAATAACAAGTACACGTTTTCGAGGCTATATTTGAATCAGGAGTGTATTAATATTGGAGAATTAAAAATGATCAATAGTAGATTAAGAAAGGTTAATTGAGGAATTAATATTAGACTCCTGTGAGGACTCGCAAAATTTATTATTTTAAATTCCTATTTCGAGCTCATTTGTATATTTAATTGCCATTTATTCCGAATAATATTTTCTAGCCTTATTAGACCTAAGTACATGGTTTTATAGTTTCGTTATATTTTTAAAACATCTCATTTCAAGAATTATTTTCTTATAAGCTTATTTAGCGAAAAAGTGAAAACGTGTCTAAACACTTTAGCCAATTGGGAGTACAATAAGCTCAAAAATTTGAGACCTATACAATGATCCTAAAATAGACAATTTTAAGTTTAATCACACAAGTGATAGCTAGTGGTACAATCGTTATAAGAATTTCTCAAAAGTTTCAATTTTTATTGCGCCTAAATTAGAAATACGTGTTTGCACGTGCGCGCTTAATTGAGGAACTTTCGACAATTATTTTGGGACAATTAAGAATGAATAATATTTATATAAATGTAAGTGCCCTAGAGGTTTAGTGCACTAGTGCAACAAACGTAAGAGAAATCGAACACAAAACGCACGCGTAGGGCACTAGTTGTAATTGATTTGACGTATTTAAAATATTAGACGTCAAGCGTCTTATGTACGCAAAGGAACCAGCAATCTCATTTCATTTCTGCAAAGTTTCATGGATGGCTAGACTGCAGCAAAAAGGGACAACCGAAACCTTCATCATTTCCTTCTACAAATTCACCAAATCACTACCAAAACTTCCATAGATTCTCACCAAACTTCACATTCATTTAGCTTTTCACTTGGACAACAATTTAGGCTGAAAAAGGGAGGAGCTTCACGGTTTTCTTCAAGCTTCAAAGGGGCCGAAACTTCTGTCCTAACCAGTCATCAAAGTAGGTAGTAATCAATCACCTTAAACTTGTCTTATGGAGTTTGATTTATGCATTTGAACTGGAATCTTCACTTTGGTAGCTTGTATTGTTGGAAAAAAATTGGAAAAGTGGGCTCTATGAATTCCCACTCTTGGGTTGCTACTGATTCTGTGCTTGCTGAAGTTTATGATGTCGGATTAGTGTTTAAGTTAATGATTTGCTGAAGAAAAACTGCTGGAAACTCACGTTGAGTACAATGGCCAAGTTTGACCATTTTGCCCCTGTTTGTTCGGCCACTTTACTGCAGATATTTGAGGATTTAATGGCTTGATTGTGTATTTTACATGTTGTAGAAGTTGTGTACAAAATTTCGTTGAAAAATATTGAGTTTTGGTTGATCAAACGAATTTATTTCCAAAGCTAGTAATCTGGGAAACGGTTGCCGTCGTAACCAGACCAGTGTTCGTGTTTCATCCATAACTCTATACTCCGATGTCGAAATCAAGTGCCGTTAGCGGCATTTGAAACTAGACGTTTCTATGTTTCCAACGGTGTATAATGGACATTCTGGTTTTATGTGTGTGAGCCACACCATTCATCTGAAGTCGGCTGTCCTGTTTCTCCGTTCTGCCAAAATGATTTGATGATGCTGCAACTTTAGGCTTAAATTCGAGTCAGTTACATGCTGAAACTTGAAAAGATTTCTTCTGTGAAATTTTATCCCTATGAATGTATTTTCTAACACTATCAACCATTCCCAATTCCGAGTTAAATTGAGGGAGTTATGATCAAAATACGGCGACTGCCTCATTTTTGAAAACCTTAGATTTGGACAGATTGCCTTAAGAATTTTTCCAAACTTTGGTTGGTTGGTTAACCACCTTCCCGAAGGTATTTTTCCACAAATTTTGATAGAGAAATACCCTTCATATTGGAGTACCATACTGCAAAATTTGGTGTCAATTCAAGTCCGTTTCGACACTTAACAAAAGGTCCAAAGTCGGAACCAAATCTGGAAATTTTGTAACAGTTTTGAATTTTTCCCAACTTTGAGCTACCATATCTTGGTGCTCGAAACTCCGATTCTCGATCCGTTTGTTTTTCCCTAAACCTTACTTTCACCTCTAATTGAGCTATAAATTTCAAGGTCTGGTTTGCAACGAGTGAATTCTACCGAATTTCCAAAGTTAGCGAAAAACCAACCCCGGCTCAATCCTGGGTGATCTGGGGCAGCAACTTTAAACTCATTTTTGAATACCTTCCATTTAGATTCGTGAAACAGTGTCTTCTAGGAACTTTTAGTACTTTCAAAGACGATTCCAACGGTACTAAGTTTATCAATTTTTGACTAGTAGAAAAGAAGTTATGATTTTTCAAAGATTTTACCAAAAATCAAAAATTCTGGAGTTTCAAAAGAAATCCGCGCGGGAAGCATTTTTCTAGAATCCGGCCTTGAATCCGGCCAGTTTCTGGCCGGATAGGCGGCCGGATTGTAGTGGGAATGTGAAAAAAAAATGAGGATGGCTACTGCCTCCAATCCGGCCAAGAATCCGGCCGGATTGTGACATGGCCAGCCCACTTCCGATTTCGATCGTTCGTTTAGCAATTGTTTCGCTCGTACTCGTTTCCAACCAATGATTTTAAGGATAATAATCCGATTTTACTCGAGTCCTGCACCCTTTTGGAAATCCAATTTCAAAGACAAGCCAAACGAAGTTTTCAAAATATTTCCGAACCTTACTCGTGTTCAAACTTTCTCACCACCTGGGGACCTATAGTAATTATCTACTATTCGATATTCAGGCACGCACGAGGACCTCCAAGAGGACCCTACCGTGGAAGTTTGAACTCTCAATCCAACCTACTTGCTTGCAGAACTTGGTGAGTGTCAAGTGTATGACTACTTGAACTCTATGGACTTGATTCATGCTTGGCTTACCTGATTACATGCTTAGCCTACTTGGTTTTGAAAAATGGAGTCGAGTGTGTACTTAATCGCACTCGTTCTCAATTGAAACAAATGACTCATGCTTAACATGGTTTGCTTGATTTACATGACCTGAAATACATGCTTAGACCTGTCAAATGCTTGAATACATGATATGGTATGCTATGGCTGCATACGTCGTTGGAGTGAATCTCCTCGACACTTACATGACACATGGGGGACGTCCAAACTCATAGGCCGACCTTGGAACTCGAGCCGGCATGGGCTTGGTCGGGAACCTCGGTGAGCCATGAGATTCACATGATAAGCTTGATCTATTGGAGAGATCTTGCTTGGCATACTCGTGGAGTATCGCCTCATAAATGTCGTGCGGGCCCGAAGCGGTGTATGGTGGACGGATGAGAAGTAAGTGGTGAACTACGGATATGAAATATCAACCCGGTTGACGGAGAGTCAACGCGGGAAGATATACGAATGACATCGGCAAAATGTGGAACTTAGCTCCTGAGAGCTACCATATCCTTGAATTGTTTTGGTTACATTTTGTTGGCATTATTAATTACTTGCAATTTATTACTTGAATTGTTACTTGGCTTGTTACCTGAGCTATGTGCCTGCATGTGTGTTCTTGGCCTCACGAGCGTTTTGCTCACCCTGTAGATTTGTTTTCCTTAACAGGATTGAACTTGGCGAGGTATCGAAGAAACCTTCCTGCTACGCTTTTGTTTAGGGTTTCTATTACTTTTGACTTTGTCTTGGCTTTTGGGTTGTATTTTGGAATCCGAATGTAACTTTTGGAGTATGATGTATATTTGGGATATATGATGGTTGTTGAACACCGATGTGCGGGTTGGATATCGGATGACTTTTATTAAACTTGAACGATTCCGCATTTATTGTATCTAAGTTATTGACTCGTTTGGTGTGGTCCAGCAATAAGTTTAAATGGAATTGCTTAAGTCCTGGCGAGAGTTAGGCAGGCGTCCCGCGGATACTCTTTGGTTCGCCTTAGGGAGAAGTGGGGGCGTCACACCTCCAATGTCTGAACGATCCTTTTTGACGATCCATTCATTTGGGGGTGGAAGGCGGTATTTAATCTTAAGTATCAATCCTTATAATTTCTTGGTAAGTCGACCAAAATCTAGACGTGAATTTAGGGTCCTAATTCGACACTATTTTCACAATTCACTTTTAGACTAGATATCACATTCTCTCCCCCTTTTAAAGGTTTCGTCCTCGAGACCTAAAAGACATAAACATCGAGATAAGTTAACAAAATTTCCAATGTTTTTGCAATATATCTTGGGAATTATTCCTATAATGTCTAAATTAGATTTCCCTATTTAATTTTATCAAGATTCTGCTGCGCACTCTTATTTTCCGCAATACCTTCCATCTTCATATCTATATAACCCAGATGAACATAATTTCTCTCACAAATCTGGCATTCTAAATATCGGCTTAGAATACTCCATAGAGATCAACTTATAAGAAGGATGCCATAAACACTAACAGTACCATTTCTTCTTTTGGTCACACATTCTATCCCAACTTACTTATCTACTATCACAAAAAGTAATCATTATCTCAATATATGGGTTCCTGCCCACTGTGTTTGTAATTAGTAACAGAAATATCTTATTTCTATCAAATCTCAAATCTAAAATAGTATCACACCTATTTCCAGATCCTATAACTTGAGTTATTATACCGCTAAGTGCCATGGAAATCTTACTTCCTTTGGTCATTTTTTTTCCGAGCTCAATCCATTTTCCGAAAACATTAATATGTCAAATATCATTTCACAAACTTCTTGATCATACAAATATACAGAAAATTTTGTACAAAAATTATCACCAAATTTTTATATTGGAATATAACAAGTTTATCATAACTTTGGTAAAGTATTTATCTATGCGTAGAATTTCAAACTCACTAAAGTTTAGAAACCTACTAGTGTTCGAAATACACAAGCCAACTAACTATACTTCTTACAGCGTTAGAATTTAGAGTACAAAGAGAATTTATCAAGAATTATTGTTAGATTTTTCTATACGATAAGAAAAAAAAAATTTGTAGAATACTTTTATCTAAAGCTCTTTTTGAGGTTGAATGAGTATATTAAAAAAAAACATTTTGCACAAGATCATAGGATATAATTGTTCAATGTATTTATTCTCTTTTTTTATATAGATATATACATATATATTTAGAAACTATATTTACCAAGCAACTGTAAGGTAAAGGTACATATTTAAAAATTCTGATTAAAAACTATTTGTGCAAATAAAATTTTGGTTTCACCGTTTATTCATTTATAGGTAAAAAGTGTGTAAAATTATCTATTGTCAGAAATTTATAAAATATTTATTACCTGATCATGATGTAATAATGCTCGAACTAATAATATCAGCTAGTTTAATAATGTCTTGAGCATTAGATCTAATTATTGTAAACCTCAAAATAAGTCAACAAAATTCCAAGATCCAACGTGTATTGCTTGTGTTCGATGACATCATATTGTTGATCATTCATACTTTCGTTGTGCACTCTAATTTTCTCAATATTTTCAGTTATCTCTATACTAGACTTCAACTAGACATAAGATTATTCATAAATCTGACATCCTAAATGATAAACTTGAAATGTACTATAGAGATCAAAACTTATAAAAAAACACCCTAAATACCCTTTTATTATTTTTTTTGTAAGTGTCAATCATATCTGGCAGATGGGCTTGGTTACCTTTTCAACTTAACATATGCATATAGTCACCACTTACTTACTACAAATAATCATCATCTCAATACCTGAAGTCATTCCAGTAAATTCGTAACATAAAATTCTAATACCATTAAAGGTTATGGAGCCACTAATTTTCTTTTAATCCCTTATCCATTTCATTCCAATTCTCAAAATCACAAATATCTTCAGTATCTTTACACCTATTTTCAACTATCACAACTTGAGCTTTGATACTACTAAAAAGTCACAACAATCTCTTATTTCTTTTGATCAATTTTTCCATCTTCTTTCCATCTTCAAAATCATTAATTTCCAAACATAATTTCTCATACTCCCAGACCATGTAACCTAGGCTCTGATACCACTAAAAATGTCACGCCCCGAGCTCGCACGTGCCCGTCATATGGCATCCACCGTATTCTCAAATCCCACTCAAGAATACAAGGCATCATTTAACTAGTCTAACCTTCAAAAGTACGAAATAATATCACTAAATAAAGTGCGGTACAAATCTCATAAAAAGATAGTTTACGAATATCCAATATGTTCGTACATTTATTTCCTAATGGAAATAGTAGAATCGAAAATAAATAAGACTAACAACTAGAAATAGCTGGCCTGCCACTTCCATTCACTTAAAGCTAATAAAAGTCGTCCTCAGGATCTTCTACATAAACCAACTCATACTCTTCAAAATCTGCAAGGATAGTAAAAAGTGGGTTGAGCGACAAATTGCCCAGTAGGTAATAACTACCCCTCTGTCGGACCATGTACTCGTAGCTTTACTGATACACACACACACACACATATATATATATATATATACAAATCAAATCATTTGCACATCGATCACATCCGTAATTTGAAAGTAATGTCATTTATAAAACAATCAGTAGTAACAACTGGCAAGCAATTTAAAAGCATCTTATTGATGGAAAATCATAACGTTGTAAATCATTTCGTCTCAATTCATAAGTCTCTTCACATCCACTCATAAATCAATTCATAAATCAGTTCATAAGTCTCATTTTAGATCAGTTCATAAATCATTCCATATCACCTCATAAATTATTTCATCTTAGCTCATAACAAGTACATGTGATGACCAACTACTGAATACTCAGCCTAGAGATTAAACCCCTTCTAAGTGGGCGACCAATAGGTTTCATGACTACCGATTGGCCTCTTTTCATACATGGGTCAATCGGCCGGATTTTATACCAGACTACCATAACCTTGCTAATCGGCCGGACTTTATACCAGACTACCATGACTTTGTCAATCGGCCGGATTCTATACCGGGCTACCATGACCTTGTCAATCGGTCGGATTTTATACCAGGCTACTATGACAATTAGACAGGACTATGGCCCCTACCGTCTATTCCATAACTGTTTTGAGCTTTACTTGTCAAAAATTCATTCCACACGTCACATATATAAATCTTTAATTTCATAAAAGATTCAATTCGTTTGGTATATAATAACATATCAAAACATTTCAAATAAGTCACATGGTCCACTTTTGTATAGTAAAAATATTACTTTCATAAATATCCAAGTAAAACATTTAATCAAATATATTTCGGGTCAACACAACAAAATAAGATTGAAAACAAAAATTTCCTTTTTTTTTGCACTTTTGAAATTTCAGAAGGGTAAGTACCACCTATCTCTGTTTGGCTGCTCAAATTGAACTACCTTAGGTCCTTGTATCGTACCTATCAAATGCATAGGTTCCCTAATTAGTTGTTACTTCCTATAGCTGCATAAATATACAACCTCTAAGTAAGTAAAAGATTCATATCTAGACCATTATACGGACCCTAATAGCATTTCCCTTAAATTGGACGATTTCTATCTTTGGAAAGTTTCTATTTTTAGAAAATTTCTTAATTTAGAACGTGTTCATTTTGTAAAGTTCCCTAATTTAAAGGAAATAATTATTCGTAATCATGTTTATTATCCTAACTACTATTTCACTATGTTTATTTATAATTTATGATTATTCATTATTATTATTATCATCCTCGTTGTCGCTAATTTATTTTATTACCACTTATATATATATTAGATAGTTACTATTACCTTTCCCTTTATTTTCACTGTTATGCATGTATAGGCGTTATTATTATTTATGTATACATGTACATATGTAATGTATATCTATATGTGTATTGACTTATTATAATTATTATTGTCTTAGTTTATTTCCCTTGTATTATATTTTTATCTTCGTTTATATCCCTCAATTTATTTTCTCCATGTCCATGTTGTTATTATCCTTACTATTATCGTTTATTAATTATTATGTACTATTATTGTTATGATTATTATTATTAATAATATTAGTGTTATCGTCAGTATTATCATTTACTCTTATTATTACTACTATTATTATTATTATTTTAAACGTTTCTTTTAGCAATTTAAAATTTATCTCACCTCGTCTACATTAACCTCACAAGACTAAAGCAAGGTATTTTAGATTTTTCCTTTAAATATCTTAGGCATAATAGATTAAGTACAAGTTTTACATGACCAATACTTCAATTCTAACAATTACTTTAAATTGGATCTTGAATTTTAATATTCACGATATACTATAAAAATGGACTAGTTGTATTTAAAAATTTATTCCCTAGACATTTATTAATTTTTATATTACATTTTTGGTCCACATCTAAACTATTTTTTTCCTCTTTTTTCTGTCTTTTCTTCCTGGGGGGGCCCATGGTTGGCCAAATGCCAACCATGGTTGACCTCTTTGGCGACCCAATCCTCCAATTCGGCCAACCAAACATTTGCTACTTGCTGGCGACATCACCTTCGCGGAAATTTTTTTTTATCTTCTTCTGGTTTCGGCCAACCTTTGAAATTCTTTTCCTTTGCCGTCAGTGGTGGCGGCCCCCACTCGTCTCTCCCCTTTTTTTTTTCTTTTCGTTGTGGTGCTTCCGCAATGCTTGACAGAAGAAAGCAGCGGCATCTCAATCATCCTATAATCCCAAGATTAAAATCTAACACCCTATTTCTATTAACCCAGATACGGATCTTATCAGAACATATACATCTACACCTATATAGCAACAACACATGTCCATAAAATTCCTAGAACAATTAATACAACTACTAAAACTTAAAAGAGAAGTTTTCTTGCATGAATTCGAGAC